AGTAGAAGGATCCTTCTGCAGGAGAATGCAAGTGTGTGGAGGAGCTGAGGTGAAAGGGGAGGGCTAAATATAGCAATTTCCTGCAGAACTTATCTGCTTTTGAGGCTGGCTTTCCAAATGGAACTGGTGTCTTCCAAGCCCTCGGTGAGGGTAGGAAGAGAACATGGGCGGGGGAAAGAACACCCGTGGGGTGTTGTGAGTGGGTTGTGTTTGTGGTTTTTGTTTTTTCCAGCCAGCTGGTACTGTGAAGTCATGCTTAAATTTAATGAAAGCCCGATGCTAAAATAGGATCTAGGGACAGCCGTTGTGAAATAATTAGGCACCCGTTCAGCCCTTCTTGTCCCTGCCAAAAAAAAAGCTACTTGAATTCATTTACATCTTTGGTACTGGAACTCTCAAATGGGCATCTTGATACCTGCTCTGGTGTGTATGAACAGGTTAAAAACTTGTCCCACTCACCTGTGCAGCTGTCAGGAGCTACAGCAAGTTGCAGTGGTGGTGGTGGTGGTTGCTGAGTGCTCTGTGGAGATCATGTGGATATTCATGGATATCACAGATTCCTGGATATCACAGGGGTGGATGGCAGGCTGGCCTCAGCCAGGTGTGCACGTGGCTCAGGGGATGGAATAGTTACTTTGAGACCTGAGGGCAGTCGAGGCTGGGAGAGTTTGAGACCATTTAGTTACAGAGATACCAGATGCTATCAATATCCTCACCTTTTGAGCACTGCTGTGGACAAGTTCTGTGGCCACATGTTGAGGGTGTAAGGCATTTATAGCCTATACGTACCTGTACTTACCTGTAAAAATCAGGAATGATGGTCTTTTGTAGCAGTGTTGGAAAGCTGAATTCACATGTGTTTGAAAACTGTTTTGGGATCATGAATTTGTAAAATGTACAAAATGTGTGGAATTCCATGGAAATGCTTTCAAGAAATTCCTTTTTTTCCCACAATGTTTGCAGCCAGAACATGGTTTTAGAGTAAGGCTTTCAAAGGTGTAGAAGTGCAGTGCAGTAACAGCGAGTGGTTGTAGTGCAGTAGTTTTCTGTGTTACATTGGACCCTGAGTTTGCATGTGACCCAGTCTCAGGTGATGGTAATCCCCTCTTGGTCTTCTGGAATTGTGTGTGTACAGTGCTCACAGGTTCCTGTTGCAGAGTGATTTGCATCTGTAGATTGAGGTTGTTCAGAACACACCCAAATTTCTGCTCTGGTGAGAGGGAGCTGTGGTCCTAAAGCAGCACAGCTCTGCCACGAGCTGCATGGGATGCTGTTTGTGGAGGGAGGCTGAGCAGTGTGCAGTGCAGCGAGCACCCAGCTGTCCCTTTGGGTGGCACAGGCAGGCCACAGGTGCTGCTGTTCCCCTGGAAGGCCAGAGCTGACCTCATGATTCACCTGCTCTGAGCACTCAGCATCAGGTGCTGGCTCAGCGTGGCAGGCAGTGCAGATCCTCTGTCACAGGGCTCTCCTGATGTGCTGCTGCCCTTATGCAGTGCCTCACCTGGTGCTGGGGCTCCTTGGACACAGCATTCTCAGGTGAGAACCTGCTTTGTGTTCCTTGTGCCTGCAAGCTGCCACCAGCTCTGAAACTCCTCTCAAACCCCCCAGATCAAGGGCCCTTGTCCCAAGGGATGGAGTTCTGTTTAAACACAAAGGCACTGAGCACTGGGGTAATCAATGTCCTTCAGCTCCACAGTTTCTTCAAGCTTGGGACGTGTTTTAGTTTTACAGGACGTTGGCTCAGCCTGGTTTTGCAAGGCTGGGTGAGGTGGTGTGTAAATAAACTGACTTGCTAAGGGGAGAAATGCTCGCAAGGAAATACTGTAGAGATCTTAAAATCACAATTGACGTGAGTAAATGGGAAGGGATGATCTTAGGTAATTCCTTATTATGTAAGAAATTAGGAATACCAGGGGTAATCAATTGTCAGCAGCTTTACAATTAAAACCAATAGCATTGCCTGTTTGAGCTATAGACTGATTGCAGTGGGATATTCAGGAGACTTATTCTTTTTTTTTGGATCTGTTGGTAGCCTTGGGAGGCCAGTGAAGGCAGTGATTCAGATGCAGTTTTGGGCTCGGGAATTTACCTGTGACTGGGAGATGTGGGGCTGGGGGCAGAGGAGGGTGGAAGAATGACCCTTTTATGCTGTGTCCTCTTGCCTTTTCCTGAACATCTGCTCTTGGCCTCTTGTGGAGTCAGGTTATTGCTGGTTGGGGTGTGTGTTGTTGGTTGTTCCTCCCCTTGGTGTGCAGTTCAGTGGCTCTCACCCAAATGTCCTGTAGCCACTGCATCCCCCCTTCTGAAACACTCTGGAGGGTCAGACCAAGTCACTGTTCCCTGCCTGTGATGCTACTGGAAAGATGGGTCTGAAAGTGTCTGGAGCTTGTTGTGGAGTAACTCCACTCTGCTTTAGGGAAAGGAAGGCTCTGGCTTTGTTAAGAAAGGCTTATTAAAACCAAGACCTCCAGTTTGGTGATTGTCCAAGGCTGCCTTTGGAGTCATTTGTGTTGTCTGAAATAACCAAGATGGAAATAGAAGATTGTGAGAGGGAACACCAAAAGCTGTTATCTGAGTCTTTTTACAGAAGATTTGTTGTTGCAACACTTAACCCTGTGTCATGAGTGCCTGGAATGTTCCTTCTCAGCGTGCTGGAGCTGGTCATCCTGCTGAGGGGAAACTGGAAGAGGACTTGTTCCTGTCTTACAGAGCAGCTGTAGTGAGCTGTGCTCACCGGAGGTCGGGACTTTCTTGTTCTGACTGCAAGCCTTAGCTCTGCTAATGAGCTGCAGAAGAGAGGCCAACAAACACCTCTGGTAATTGCAGGTCTGGAGTTTGCCTGGCGAGGATCCTGTGACAGCAGGAGCGGGCTGGCAGCCTGGCCAGCCGCCCTTGGCTGCCGGGGAGCTCGCAGAGTGGCTTCCTTTGAAGTGCTGGGAGCTGCTGATCCCTGCTCTCAGCAGTGGTGTGCCTCAGCAGGCCCCCAGCCCTCCCCCAGAATGGCTCGGGGTTCCTGGCTGCCTGCTCTGAGCCACTTGGGGCTGAGGTTGCACAAACCTCTGAGCCAGCTGCTCGTGGCAGGGCACTGAGTCCTGCTTCTCCCCCTCCATGTGCTCTTCTCCCTCTCTTCTGGCATCTCTGGCCTTGTGATGCACTGGGTAAGGCTTTCCTTTGGTTAAAACTAAATCTGCCTTTGCCAGGTTACTTCTAACCCAGGTTAATTCCCAGTTTTTTCTTCTGCCTGAGTGCCCCCATGGGGTGTTGGTGTGTCTGGTGTGACCCCATGGGGTGTTGGTGTGACCCCATGGGGTGTTGGTGTGACCCCATGGGGTGTTGGTGTGCCTTGGCCTGACCTGCTGTGCCCTGTTGCAGGTTTTCTTGCTGCTCTTGCTCCTGGCTGTGGCACCAGGACAGATCAGACACATTTTTGGTGGCCCCCCGTGCCTGCCTGCCCTCCCTTCTGTGCAGGACGGTGAGCAGCAGTGTCCAGCCTGTGCCCCGAGCTGCCCATGCTGCTCAGCCTGCCGGGGTGGGTGATGTCTGTGCTGCCAGGTGCTGTGGAATGCCAGGGAGCAGAGACGAGAGCGAAATCTCCCTAGGAACAAATGTAAAATTAAACAAAATGCGTGTTTGTATTAGTCAGCCTAAACCAGACTGCTATTTAGGGCTCTCCATTGCAATAAACTTGTCTCTTGTGTTTGTGTGGGAGGACTGCAATAATTAAAGCCATTTTGAGGCTGAATCTTAGAAGTGAAAACAGAACTAACAGATAATGGTTTGCTTTAAGAGAATATGAATTATATCATATTTCATTATAATACTCCTGTGTTAGAGAAGAGATGGGTGATACTCTGCAGGTTGGTTCTTGGTAAAAGCTGTGTCCATGCTGCATGTCCACACTATGCATTAAAACTCTGCTTGACTTCATAAGGAGTAATATTTTTTAAAAATATTTTTGAATGGAGTGAACTGCAGCTGCAGTTGTGGGTAGCAGCCTGCTAAAACATTGACTTTGATGGCATGGGCTGGGCAAATCCCAGGCTGGAGTGATAAACAACATAGAGAATAAAAGTTTCCTGTTCCCCAGAAATTGCTGAATAGAACTTAAAGATTAACTGACAAAAAAAAAGATAAAAAGTTATAAAAGTATGTACACAGCATGATAAATTTGAGTGGAACCAGTGGGGAAAAAAAGAGAAAAAAAGGACTATTCCAGCTGATTTTAGGATCAGGAGGATGATCTGGCAGTGGAGTTTGTGGCAGTCAGTCTTGTAGGATTGCACTATGTGCTACTCCTTATTTTCTGTTGACAGAACAAAACCACGTACAACTTGTAGGGCACCAGTCTGAGTGTTAAATGAACGAATTCCTATCTCCTTAGGAGTGGAATTGCAATAAATTGTGCATTTAAAAAAAGAAGGCTATTTTTAATTTGACTTCTAAATACTGGCTCAAGTTAAATGATAAGAAAGAGCATTTGAGATGCATGCTTAACACATGAAAAAAGTGCTGATCCTTGTGAATTAAAAAAAAAACCCACAACAAAACGGAGGGGTGTGTTCTCCTGGTGACTGTGATTACAATAGAAGAATAAATGCTTGGAAAACTTAGGAAATTCATTTCTGAACATGCATTCTTAGAGATTGAGCATTGATCTAAGTTAACTTTTATTCCACTTGACCTTTATTTTTGGACTGAGCTGCAAAACCTGTCTAGATCCCGAGTCTGAATGAAATGATGCTGATGACAAATGCAACCACCTTTTCACTCCACCCGTTTTCCTTCTGGGGGTGCCTGGGTGTGGATGTGGTGAGGGACGGTCTGTGCTTATCTGTGCCTGGGAGCTGTGCTCCCTGCACAGGATGTTGCTTTGATGTCCTGCTCCTGTCGGCCAGAGCCCTTTAGCTCAGTTGGGCAGTGCCGTGTGCCCAGCCCGGCTGCCAGAGCACAGGAGCATCTCTGGGTAGGATCAAGGTTGAAGCCTTTCAGTCTCGGCTCTCCTCCAGCTTCTTTGCATAATTTGAGCCCGTCTCTGTCCAGAGAGAAACACTCGAGTTATTTCAAGTCACTGGGACAGGAGGAAAGGCTCCACCTGAAGGGCTGCTCAGCAGGGTGGGCTGTGTTCCCCACCTCAAATCCCCACGTGTGCTCTGGAGGTGCCTGGTGGCTCCTTGGTCTTTCCTCCTTGTCTGTTCTCATGCACCCTTGGCTTTTGCTGTTGAGCCTGTGCACTTCTTAAATTCTTGAACAACTCCTTGGCATGGCTTTTGCTCTCCCACATTCGTTGGTTGTCAGTTGGGCCTTTACAAATGTGCCAGAAATGCCACGTAGACACTTTTGTGTGTTTGTGGACCTGGCATGTTTGCATCAGCCTCCAGAAGAGAATAATCTGAGTAACATGTCCTGGCTTGCTGAAACAATAGGGTGTTTTTTCTGTCTTGGTGTAGGTATTTTGCACATTTGTAAGACTCATGTCATACCTCTAAAGCAAACCTGGGCATGGTTGTTCTGCAAAACCTGTTCTAAAATCTAAACCTATTTATTCCCTTCCCTCCATAAACTTCCTTATGACACAAGTGATATTTTGAAGAATGAGTGAATCAATATGACTGTTCCTCAATTATGGAAATAAAAACCTAAGCGGCATCAGAAGTCTGAAAGAAATACGGTATTTCCATGCCTGATGCAAAAGTGGCATGTTTTAATGACTGGAAAAGTCTTTGACTTCATCGTTTTGGTTGGGATTTGATCCTGGACATTGTTTAGACATTCAGAGAAAATATGTATTGGACTTTCATGTGGAACAGTGTCCAGGATTGTGAGGGAACTTTGTCTTGTTTCTCCATTAGGAAAGCCAGAATGCCAGGCAGTGAGGAGCCAGAGCAACAAACTGGATTTTGAAGCTCACTTTTCCTGCACAGTTCCTGGAATCTCTGGTGAGGAATTGGTGTTCCTGAGGCTGCAGTGCAATTTTATGCCTTCTGTAACAAAGGATCTGTGAGGAGTAAAACCTACTTTATTTCCAGTCTGGGGATTTGTAAAAGTTTGACATGCAGCCCAATTATAATTACGTTGGTTTAGTTCCCAAAGTGGACGCTCTTTATTCTAAAAGAGGCCCTACTGTGTGCAACCAGGAGTATTGAAGGCCCTGAAGTGTTAGCGTTTGAATGGTTTTGGCTTAGCTTTAAAATAAATATCTAGTGGATATGGAGCTCAGGGGAGTGGACTAAAGCAAATGGAAAAGGTGAATTAACTGGAAGCTGTTCCGCAAGGCTGGGCCCATAGAGCCACAACACAGCAGCAGATGGAGGCAGAAGAAAGGCGTTTGGAGAGCTCACTTGTGTTTTGAGCCTGAGGAGAGGTGGGTGCCATGCAGAGGCTGCTGTTCCTCTGCACAGGGTTATTCTGTCAGCCCTGCTCTTGCTCTGCAGCATCAGTCCTGTGAGTGCCTGCACTGCTCCCACCAGGAACAGTGAGACCCATTCCTGGCAGCTTTGGAAAGGCTGTAGTGTTTGTCTCTGGTACCTGATGGTTCTTTTCAGGTGTGAGTGATAACACCAGCAGGTTCCCTTCCTGAAGTCAGAGATTCACAGTTTTTCCTGTCTGTGATGGAAATCTGGAAAGAGGAGAATGTGTGCTTCTTCTGGGGTGTGTGTGACACAGGGTGACTGGGCAAAACAAATTGGCAAATCCTCATTTTTCTGGGCAGGGAAGGAGCCTCACGTGGAGCTTTTGGCCAGCTCCTGGTGGGAGTTCACGTGCCTGTGAGCTGGAGTGGCCGTGGCTCTGGGGCTGCAGGGTTTGTGGGGTGAAGAGCCCCTGTGCTGGGAGTGGAGGTGGACCCTGCTGTTGGGTCTCTTACAGGAGGTTTCTGAGAACCAGGATGGTGTTTGGCCCCCGTTACAGATACAGGTACCCAGGGGTTGGTGTGACAGAGGGACACTCAGGGACACTTTGTGAGACTTGGGACTCTGTCGGAGGAGGGGATGGCAAAGGGCCAGGCCTGTGGCTGAGTGTCTGACAGAGTGAGTTACTGCTTGTCGGCTGATAATTGGTGCTGTTCACCTCTGCACACGCTGCTTGGCCTGGAGTGTGGGTGAAGCAGTGGCTGGGGACACGGCAGAGAGGTCTCGGGTCTCTGCCTTCTTCTGGTGGCCACAGCTCCCTCACTGGTCACTGCGGTGCCCCAGCATCGTGGCAAGGTCCTGCTGGCAAGGCAGGAGAAGTGTGATGGCCAAGGGTTGCTGTGTCTGGCTTGGGACAGCCTTGCCTGAGAAGTTCCCAGGGCCACACCTGAGGTCTCACAGGGTGGGGCTGTGGTTTTACAGCTGCTCCTGGTGGGCAGCATGAGAGCTCTGCTCTGGGTGTGGAGGCTGAGAGCACAGACAGCCCTTTGGGGGCTGCAGTGGATGGGACCCTGCTCCAGGACCCTGCTCTGGGTGTGCAGGCTGAGCCCTTTGGGGGCTGCACTGCCCAGGACCCTGCTCCAGGGCTCACCCAGCAGAAAAGTGAATGTGCCTGGAGAAGGTTGGTTCTGAAATGCTGACCAGTGTGAACACGAAGGGAAGTGAACCCAAACCAAAGGCACAAACAGCAGTGACCCAGAGGCTGTAAATGAAGTCTCTGAGGGGTTGGTGTGCCAGCAGTGGGAAAGAATACCAAATGTGTTTTTTTTTTTTTTCAAAGTTCTGAAATATTCTTCCAAAAATCTTAGGGTTTTTTTGACATGATTGATCTTGTATCAGTCCCACAGGTGTGTTTGGTTGTATGTGAAACAGAGATTCTTATGAACTTAAGTTCGTAAAGGCATATTAATTAAAAAATGAATGTTGGATAAGCCAAAAACACTTGCATGTCATAGTTGTTTGAAAGATGTCTGTCAGTGTGTTAGCTGACAGCTTGGTGCAGCTTGCAGGTTTTACCCAAATAGTTCTTAGGACCACAGCTGAAGGAAAAAAGTGCTTAAATGTGTTACCTTCTCTTTGGGAGATAATTCTGGGTCAAGAGGCCACAGTAGCTGCTGTGTGAAGAAGCAAACCAGGCCAAAGGAACGGGCTTGTATGGCCAAGGTGAGTTAGAGCTGAGCAGGGAGGTGGCTTCTATGGAGTAGCAGTTGGTCACTTTGCTGAGACACCAAGGAGGTATTTGAGCATCTGATCTTAAAGGGAGATTCTGTTGATTCTCTGATCTTGAAAGGCTACTTTCTTGCAAAACAAACAAACAAAAACCCACAAAGAGCATGTCTTCTCTGTTAAAGTAATTAAAAATGTTTAAATACAGTAAAGGAGCATAGTAAATATTTTCCATATAAAACTTGCAAAAAAATAACATCTGATTTTATTCTGAATTAACAAGTAGCAAGCTAAAACTTAGACCGTTTTTGGAAAGATTTGAGGAATTCATGAGAGTTTCATTGCTGAGCTGACCCACCCCTGAAGGTTGTGCAGAAATAGGCGGCACCTTTGGGGGTTGTGCATCTGGAGTATAAAAGTAAAAATTACTTTAAATGGCTGAACTGTTTTGGGTTTAATTTAATTTGTGTTTTTGTTTACTTGTTTTTCATAAAAACCCACAGTAAATGCTAAATAAAGTTTGTTAAATGCTCAGCCCAGCTGCATCATGAGGAGGGTTTAAAGGTGATTAAACTCTCCCTCCCAGTCTGACACTTTAAAGAGTGTTGCAGATCTTCCACCCTGCCGTGGTGGTGTGGGGACATGCACAGGGTCTGCCAAAAGCTGCAGAGCTGATCCAGGAGCTGAGAAGCAGCTCCTTGTCTTGTCTGCCCTGCCCAGGTCACCCAGGCCAGCTCACCTGGCTGCCTTTGCTCAGCTCAGGAGCTGCAGGTCCTGTGTCCTTGGGCCAGTAATGGGGCCTTGCTGGCAAAGGCCTTGGGAACTTTTCATAATAATAATAATAATAATAATTAGCACAGTCAGGCCACTGTAAGCCTGCTTTCCAATTAAAAATAAACTTTAAAATATTGTATTTATAAGCGTGAATAATCAGATATATCCTTTTCCATAAAAAATGGGGACCTGAGTTTCTGGGTGTTGGGAGTAGAGGGATGGAGAGGGAAATGGTCTTTAAAGATTGTATTTAGTTAGTCTTAACAAGATGTTAATTTGTCTTCAACAGCAATTGAACCTTTCTTAGAAAAGAACAAAAATAAGTACAAAATCAGATCTAAAACTGGTTATTTAAATTGTACTCAACTTCCCAACTTAAATCCCCTCGATCAACTTGGAAGCATTTAAATGCACACCAAAACCTGAAATGACTATTCCACATGTACAAATGTAAAATGCTGTTTTGAAAACTTCGGATAACAAGGTAAAATTCCAAGTGTGTGGATTGTGGGGGGGATTTTTTGTTTTGTTTGTTTTAAGCCTCGAATTTTGAATCATTATGCTCACACAATTGCTCAGCTGGGTTTATTTTTCATTTCTGTAGCTGTTCTTTTCCGGGTGGTAGTCCAGAGAAAGTTCTGTCCCAGGTGTGTCCCTGCTGAGGTGGGGTGAAATGCTCCATGCCGTGCTGAGGAATGCTGCTGTAGTGCTGAGCTCAGTCAGTGAGGTGTTCCTGGCTGAGCAGCCCGGCTGGAATTTTGGGTGGCCAGGGGTTGCCTCTCCCCGGGGCCAGCCCTGCAGAGTGCTCTGGCTTGTCCAGCCCTCCCTAGAATTGCCAGTTTGGCAGCTATGCCCTGCGAGGCTCACCACTGAATTATTTTGGAGCTGTTTGATTTCTTTGCAGCCCTGCTGTGGGAACTCGGTGTTTTTGGGGTTCTTTGGTGGGTTGTTCTGCCTGCTCCGAGCTGGTACCCCTGCCATGGTGCAGTGACATCTCGGGCCTTTGCATGGGTGACAGCAGAGCTGTTCTAACGTCTCCCAGCCTCTCCTCCTCACCTGGTGGCAGGTGAGCTCCGGCGGTGTCGATGTGGTCAGACACGGAGCAGAGGCTGTGCTGGGAATTGGTGTTGCAGCAGTTTGCAGACAAGACCTGCCCTGTGCTCCTGTGCCCCTGGGGCTGTGGAGGTGGGACAGTGGCAGGACTCCAGAGCAAGGAGCACTGATTGCTGCAGGGACATGTGGGGTTTATGGCTGCTGGAGGAGGTGATGTACATTGCAGCTCCAAAAATAGGTGTCTGTCTGAGCAGCTGTGGGTGAGGAGTCATCTCTGAGCAGAGTTCTCAGCTCAAGCTCAGCTGGTACTCCTAGGGTTTCTTGCAGCAGGGTGTTTGTATCAGTAGGTCAGTGTTAACTGGTGTCCAGCAGCCCTTGTCTTCTCCAAATAATCACTTTGAGGAGCTTGGAGTGAGTGGAAATAATCAAGATGTTGAAAAAGGGAACAGAAAAAGAGACAAAATCAAAGTGCTTTTCTTGGTTAAGTAGTTTTGCCATGTAACTTGTGTAGGTAGCTGCAGTTCAGTTCCCTGCATGGTCATGAATGGATATTGGGAGGATGCTGCTGCATCTTGGAATTCAGGCAAATCCTAGGCTGAGCAGATTTTGTTTGTCTGCATAAATGTCTCTCCATGAGAAACAAACCCGACCAACAACCAAGTTCACACAGTAGCAACTCACTGGCTTTAGCTTCAAACTCTGCTAGCCCAGGTTGGGATTATCTTTGCTCTGGGGAGCCATGAGGAAAGCTGGATGGTCTGTCCTGAAAATGGTGAGAGGGACACGCAGGAAGTCCTTGCCATCAGACCACAGTGGGACACCTGAGCCCAAAGCTCTGGTACAAAGAGCTCAGTCTGGCCCCTGTTTGTGGTGAATGTCCCCAGACAAAGGGCTCTGCAGATCAGTAGGGGTGACTTCTGGTTTTGCTAGCTCATACTGTCAAGTGGGTTCATATTATTCAGTCAGTTCTGGGGGGTTTGGAGATGATTTAGTAATTCCTGGTTTTTCCAGCCTACTTCAGAAAAATAATGTATTAAAAGCATTGATAGAGAATTGGTTTATTCAGCTCAGAGCTGCTTGTTTGCTGGCAGTGCTCAG